TTACATCTGGTCAGAAAATACTTGGTTCTTGATATATACTGAGACTTACGAGGCCCCGGATCACTTCATCACTCAAGTCTGCGCACGGCTTTTCCAAGCCATACGTGCCCAGTCTCGATTGCTTCTCTCCAGGTGTAGAAGTGAGCACTTCTACAATGGCCTTTTCCTGGAGGGACTTGATGTGGTCGTTGAACCGATAGACTTCGATGTAAGGTACCTGCGCCATGGCTTCTGGGTTCAAGGGGTTGGGCTATAGTGGGCTTATGTCGAGGAGAATGCAACGTTGGGTATTCAAGAGGAAAGTAAGAGCACAATTGTTGAACTGTTGAAATTCCGCGATAAGATCACTGAGACGAGGATGGAAATAACGGTTGAGAAACCCGGCGGCTTTATACTTATATATTTAGAGCCGTAAGCGTAGGCGATCGGATATGTGAGCGTCGAGTTGCACTGCTGTTGGCTTCCACATGGGTGTTTGCAACGCATAAGCAGCAGCAGAGCGGCAAAGCTCCCTAGGGTGGCCCGGCCTGTATAACCACCCTTATACAGTGCATCCGGCCTGAAGAGGTCCCTCGATAAGCATTGCATTGCATTGCATTAGTTCATCATTCGCTCATTCCACGCTCCGGCAGCCCGGACCCTTGTGCCGTCACCCAAGGTGTCTCAAAACTTCGGTGGAAATAAGGGAGTGTCGCTTGGCGAACGGCTACCTGCAGGAGGACATTTCTAACATCAACGTTAGTGCAAGGAAAATCCGTTTGCTGTCATTCGTCCAACAACGCGACTAGGGTGTTATGATGTTTGCTATAACATCCCGGTTCATGATGCATGGCCGCTGATCAGCGGGAAGGGAGCTGCAGCCAACCGTTGAAAATGGGTCGAGCTGGCGCCGCGTCCAAATTCGAGATGAGAAAGAGGGGGATACATACATTCAGGCTCGAAAAAGACAAAGTCGGGCCTTCATTTGAAGCTGTCCCGATCTCGCGGGATCGCACTAATCAATCCATGCTATAAGGAAGCAAGATCGAAACACTAACGACCCTCGTAAACTCTCATCGAAACATCCCGCACGGTAGCAGAGCCGAGCGTCTAAGCGAGGATGAAGGTCATGGAACCGGATGGCGATCGCAAAATGATAGCTCAATTTTATTTGTCCAGCACATTTGTCCCAGGCTTGTGTGTGTAATACTTCCATAACATGGCTTGCGTGGATTCCACATCAAGAAGCGGCTGCAGTACTCATGCACGAGCAAACGAAACTGTCACATTCTTGGACCAATACGGACAATTTGCCTCGGCTGTATGACGGGAGTGATACCGTGTGGGAAGCATTGGACAACCAGCTTTCGTATCGCCAATCCCTGATATACACAGGGTCGTGCAGCTATTGAAGGTCGTGGACATAGACAGTCTGGAGTACCGACATATCGAGAACGAATATTCCGAAGGTGGGAGCTACTTAGTCGATCGGCTAGACGATCATCTGCTGCGCCCTTCTAGCCCCAATCGCAATATGTACGGCATGGAGATGCGTTTGCATATCTAGTTCATTTTCTGTTTGACAAACCACGAGCATCGTTGACTGAGGTGGCGCGGGCAAGTGTGTGTTCAAGTTGGTGTGCTCAGTGTCCTCTGGGGGATGATTTGAGCAGCTTAACAACATTGTCGTAATACCCTTGTACTCCTCCGTACTTCTGCAGTATCCCGTGTATATCGACCTCTTCAACATTCCTTGTGTTTTTTCGGCCGACCAAGCCTGTGTTTCGAGTACTTGGTATCCTCAACATCTCCGTCTCAACGTTCCACCCGCAATCTTCCGCTATCTGCGTAACCCAGTCGACTAAAGACGCAAACATACTTTTTGATTTGGTCTTGTCTCGAGGCGGAGGTGCCCGCCACCTATCTCCTGTGAGATTATGACTGCAACATGGTATCATGATGAACGGGCATTGAGATATGGCGGCAAGAATTGGTGTCCAAGGTGTAAGCTCGTCGGCGTGGTTAGAGATTATGAATGTGCCTTGAGGGAAGAGGCCATCATGAATGTCATCAGAGTTGATTACTCTAGTCTCATCACTCGCTGCCTCCCTGGGAATGACACTGGGAAGTAAGAGCAACCTCTGGAGTGAGTTCCCAGAGGGTGATCCCGTGAATGGTGAGTTGTAACGGGACCACGACTTACGCTCACGGGCATCGAAACCCCAACCAGCATATCCTTCCATCCTGAGGATATGAACCAGTAACCCATTGCCGCAGCCGATGTCCACAAACCCTGGAAAGTCCCTATTGTGGTACATCTCCTTCCACAGCTCAATCAGAAATGCTGCGATACCTAGATCTTCAAACACATGTTTTGTGGGATCTGTAGTCTCAAGCCAAGACTTAACGAGAGTTCTGGCGTATTTGTTCTTTAGTTCAGAGTACCTATCCTGAAACCTCTCTCGGGGTACAATGACATCGTGATAGACTCTTTTGACGTAGCCTCGAGCGGTGCCGTGACCATGCTTGTGGATGGTCTGGAGTAGATGGTAAGCTATCCTCCCCAATTTGACTTGGTCGACCTCTTCCTCGCCTGTCTCAGGTTCAAAGAGTGCAAAGTGGACGGAGATGGTGCCTGTGTTGGTGGCTACATCCCATTCATGAAGCTGGCTGATACCCTTGACCTTTGGGTGATAGAAGGGTAGGTCTGCAGCAGAGGAGGTATGTGGTATATACACGGCCAGTGATCTTGACAGGGTGGCTTCCCCGTCAGCCTCTTCATCCTCATGACTATTTGTGTGATAGAAGGAGCAGGTCTGGTCTAATGGAGCATCGCGAAGTGTGTTTCTGGGTATTAGTCGGCGCACAATGGTTCTTTGCCGGCTGAATCCTTGGAAGTCGAGAGCCCTAGGGTCACTTTGGATGGCACCGTCAGCTTCGGGGGCAAGGTTCTGACTGTCATCATCGAAGAGAACATCTGCACGAAACAACCACTTGGAGTTGAGGTTTGGGTTCTCAACAAGGTTGAGCATAATCTCGTCGAAATGCTGAGTCTCAAACGTGCATGTGTGGCGGCACATAGGTAACCAGGTAACTTGGCCGCAACGTTCGCGGATTACGGGCGGCGATCCCGGAGGAAACTCCTCGGGCTCAAACGGTGCCTTCTTTTGAAACTCCATGCTCAGACAAAGTCCAGAAACGGAAGGGTGGCCGACGGGTCCGAAGATGCAGGCTGCTGAAAAGTGGTCAGACACTGTCTGGTGCCAACAGCCGTAAGGTGCGTTCGGAGCGTTACCTCGACCCTACGGTGATCACCGCCGTTAGGAAGCACTTAATCGGATTTGGTCGAGGGGTTGATGGCCCCTGTGATGATGACGGGTGGTCGTGGAGATCGCGAATGATGTGAGCAGTATTGAAGACTTCCTCTAAATAGGGCTAGCTGTGCCCCAGGATTTAGACAGCTGAAGCCTGAAGCCCTGACTAGTACTCTCGGTTCCGAGAAGCGAAGTGAGATGGTTCGATCCAGGGTCCAAGAGCTGGACGAAACACCCACTGATAATGACGAAGTAATCTACTGTATGGATCAGAAACAGGTGCTTTCGGTCTTGGGAGAAACGACGCAAAAGTGGCACCGATTACCGACTGTGGAAGCGGGATACTAGGGCACGACCCAAACTTGCGTGGGAGAAGCAATGCCCCGGCCAAGAGTAATAGAAATGAAACAAGGTGGAGGGTTAATGCATTCCATGTCAGTTTGTACAGCACACTATGGTGATCTGATGTAGGTAGGCTGCCTTGGTGGTGACCTTGGTTTACGAAAGTCCCTCAAGTTGGCAGCTACCTTACTGTTTTGCTCTTCCCTCGCTCCCTCATACTTAAGGTTGTCTATAACAGAGCGGCCCGGAAGGAGCCTTCCGTGCTAACATCGCTGCTAATAATAAGATCTGTAACATTCACCACCCCTGGCCTGATTTTGGCAGGTGCTTTTCCGATGGAACCTTTCCGGCTTGGAAAACTAGAATCCTGCTCGACCTGGTCCATTTCTCTGCACTATTGCGATTTGTTTGCATCACAAACGGGACCTATGACTGCGTTTGCGCATAAGTCACTGAGGAAATGACTGAACGAATCAGGAAGTTCAGGGTAAGTGGCGGTGTCTGGCTTTGACAGGCTGACTCTTATCTGAGTTGCAATGTACCTAGGTTGCCTCCCTCCAACCACATGTTGCATTGACAAGAGCCACTCACTCATCACATCAATCCAACCCAAGTAGCCAAGGTATTGCAACACTAAGGTAGCTTTTCGGATGTCAGGATGTGGTCCTGCGCGTCACAAGCGAAGGCCGTGTGACTTGCAGCAACAGTGACAGCCAACAACTTCTGTTAGACCACCACTGGCCTCAACGCAACGCAACACAACGCAATACAACACAACACCGCACTTTTCAGTTGAAGAGGGACTGCACAGGATGATGGATCACAGATGTCATATCACAATGTGTACGAAGGCGCAGGCCGCAGTGCATCCAACAGACAACAAAATGTCCGACAAATGCTACCTTCTCGAGATATGTACCGAAAAGCGGACGCCTAAGGTACCCGTTGAGCTTTGACTCAATGACAGGTCTCGACTTGATTGAAAGCGATTGAAAAGGAGTCTTCCGCTTTCAACGGGCTTCCCGAAATAAGGAGACAAACAGCGGTGGCTGGGTTGGGCTGCCGTGTATTGGTTGGAACGTGCGGTAGGCTACTCCGTCGATCTTGACCAATATCACTGCTCCAGTGAGCCTTCCAAGGCCTTGTAAGGAGAATGACTGCTTGTACCAATGATCAAAATATCTCATCGGTTTTCAACTTCGACAGAATGTGTTGACTCTGAAAATAGGTACGCCTCTGGAAAGCGAAGTGTAGTCCACCTAAATTATGTAAATTGAAGAAGTTACTTTGTTCGCAGACCGGGCTATGTACGTGACTTCGATGATTTTCAACTTCTACCTGTAGTTATCGTATTTCCGCCCAGCGATGGGCTCTGATTCAGAGCCCCATTATAGATCACAGTGGATGCTCACCGAATTCATCTCACAAGGCTTTCTGCCTGAGAAATTAGGCCAAAACACGAGCCAATCAGCTAGCACGCCCGTGCTGCCTCCTGCCTCCCACCAAAGCCCAAAGCCCAAAGCCCACTTACTCATCTTGCCCCTCCCGCTTCTACCAAACTCTCCCGACTCTTTCTTCTCCCTAACAACGTCACCAACACAAATACCCGCAAACTCCAAAGACTTTGCAGCCTCGCAAACCTCGTCGCTAGACATCCTCATCGCTTACACACACTACTCGATATCTTCACAGCGAGGCGCTATATTGCCAGCGGTCGCTGAAAACATCCTCCTCCCCCTTACAAAACCCATTTCCCAAGGTAACCCCAGTACCTCCGAGTTTATGTCCATCGAAAATCTCAAGACCTACGGTGAGTCTCTTTGCTACCCTCGAGAAGCCTTCTCCTCCCGATTTTGGTATTCATCTGCGGGGCTCGTCTCGACCATCGGATATCGGCCTGTCGTTTCGTCGTTTCGTACCTGCATTTGTTGCCGTCAAGCCACATGTTGAATCTCCACTCATCCCCGTATCCTATCACAACAATTTCGATTTTGAGGAACACCATAGCTGACCATCGCGACCTAGACCCCTTCGCCGAAGCCGACGAGGACACCGGAGAAACTAAGCAGACGCAGAATTACATCCATATACGCATTCAGCGTAAGTCACCTACTCCAGCCACACTAGCCAACGGCGCATCGAGGATCACATCACACCGTAACCTCACGTGAGATTTCTGTGTGACTGAATGACTCCATGCTACACCTGGCTCTAGGTGGCATCGTTTTCGCGCATAATGCTAACATGGTTCTAGAGCGTAATGGACGTAAGACTTTGACCACTGTTCAGGGTCTCCCCAAGAAATTTGACCAGAAGAAGATTCTTAAGGTCATCAAGAAGAAGTTTGGTAAGCTCCACACTCCGTCGCCGCCGAGTTCGAAGCTAATGTGACCCAGCCTGCAATGGCACTATCGTCAACGACTCCGAGATGGGAGAGGTGATCCAGCTCCAGGGTGATCAACGCAAAGATGTTCAGGAATTTCTCATCGACAAGAAGGAAGGCCTCGAGCTAGATGCCAAGACCATCAAGGTCCACGGTTTCTAAAGCTCTGCATGCCCCGTCGTCCTGTCAGTCGCCGTTCCCGGGCGTCATGACGTAGAGGGACAGGGACGCATGGCCTCTCCGGCTTGTGCCTTTTCCGGACGTGTACTCTTGCTCTCGCAACAGACACACCGAGGCTCGGCTCCGATTACTCTAGGACGACGGGCATCCACTCAGGGCGAGTTTTACTCCTGGTGGCTTTTTTGGAAGAGTATTTATTCTTATGCTGCGCGTTCTGCAGCAGGTGGACGATAGCTTTTCGGCATCCATCTTGCTCACGTGCACGAAGGACGAGGCTACGGGCAAAGCATTTGTTACTCCAACATGGCTTGTCAGTCGCTCGTTAGTCAGATATGTCTACATGGGCAAGCCCCGCAGTAGTCTCAGGCAAATACAAAGTCGATTCCGAATCTTTTTGCTAAAAATTGTTGTGAAATTGTTTCAATCCTAGTTGTGGTGGTAGTTTGACGTCAGGTCCCACTTGTAAGGCACAACATCTGAAGTCGTGCTAATCAAAAACCCAGGTTCCCAAACTGCACACTGCTTGGGATTCACAGACAATTGTGTACATGAGTTTTACAGCTCCGCAAATAATCAGACATGTTCAGCCCTAGCGTGGGCGGGGATATCAGAGTTCAAAAGAGAAACCAAAAAGTCGCTGAAAGTCATTTGTAAAGAAAAACAACAATGGTTCGCCTGCTTCTTTGTGCGTGTCCAGATACAGAGGCATTTCATTCGTCTGAAAGACAGCCGAGAAGCTCTACAGGTCTTCATGCTGCTCGATGCTTCCCCTGATCTGAGTGATAACGCGCGATGCTTCATCGAAGGCGCGCCGACCAGAAGCTACAATCGGCATCTGGGGGTAGTCAGGTGTGGACTGGTGAAGGTGTACCAGCAGAGTCACCATAGTGATGGAACAAGCTATGGAGAAGACGTTGATAGAGGTGGACGTCTCCTTGCGAATGTTGATCTTTTGGTGAGTGACGTGATACATCATGGTAAGAGTCTGCGGCGTAGTTGTTAGCTGAAGTAGCAAACCTTGGTTGCGGTGAGTGCCGTGTGTCGCGTGTGCGGGGAAGACTTACAGTGGCTATGCCAACCCAGCCTGGGAGGAGGAGACGAGGGTCTTGAAAACCACCCGTGAAAGAGAGCACAAACGCAGTGAGATATGCGTTACAGAAGTTGGTTGTTAGCAGGCGAACCATTGTCGCTTGTGGGGTATAATTGATGAGCCTGTGAACTACTAGTTAATATGGTGTTGTACAGCGAGCATGTCACAACAGCGACGATCCAATAACCTACCATCTGGACATCAGACAGTCCGTGAAGAAGAATGATAAATATCCCGAAGCAAAACACTAGCATCCAACATATCATATCAGCACAGCACTTTTCGGCCTTGGATCTACTCGAGGAATATCTCAACGCACCCATATAGTTGCAAGCCCAGTCTCAGTCAGGGCGTACCGCGCATCCGCCTCGACACTCATAGCCACAGATCCTCCCGTCGTTGAAGGCACAACGACTACAATCTCTGGTCCTGGCAAGACACGTAACAGTAGTTGGAGCGCAGAAGGCAATCCCCACCACAACGCCGGCAGAATAGAGAAGAGGCGCAGGGCAAAAAGCCACGGGTGCCATGGCTTGGGGACATTGAGAACGACGGCGACTCGGGGTTGAAGAAGAGACGGATGCACGGGACTATCGATCTCGGGAGGAGCTGTCTTGGTCGGGTGCGGCGGCGGCGGCGGAGGTTTGCCAGACGTCGAGGTCACGGGCGCAAGCGGTTGTGGAGGTAAAGGTAGATGGCCTGTAGAAGAGCCCCGACGAACGGGGGGAGGGTTGGCCATCTCACATCGATCGTTCAGGCCATCTGAAGCAATTCGCGATCAATTGTGTGGAAACTAAAATCACATAGGCCAAACCCAAGAGAGGAAAAAAAAGAAGGGGGGGCAGAAATCAGGTCGACGCAAGGGGGGGCAGCCTTGGTAAGGCAGCTGTTGGTGATGGCGTCAAAGGAGGAGGACAAGCTGCCACCTCCAGAGTCCAAATGCCTGCACAATTCAGATTGAACCGACAGGGGTCGTGGGGGTTAAAATGCGCCAACCATTGGAAGTGGGAACACAGGACCCTTTTCGACGTGGCTAGTGGAACTCTGGAAGCTGGATCACACCTCATGGGTTAGGGTTGACCATGACAAAAGCATGGCTGCATGGATAAGGTATCAAGAGTATAAATTTTCATCAACGGCCACCAAATTCATAATCTGCTTCTACAAGATGAGACACTCTGGAGCATGCATACATGTAAATATTTAGAACTGTCTTCATAAATCGCCAATGAACTTCACATATCCCCCAAGGTTAACGTAGTTTCGTCTTATAAGCTTGACCAGACTCCGTTTTCCTGCTCTTACAGATCCACCGTGCCACGTACATCCAAGTGATTCCTAGCCCGTTCTCAAGACCAGAATAGATAGACGACCTAGGGGAGGCAAAGAAACTACTCGGGACCTCGATCTTAATTAAAAAAAAAAAAAAGAGACTTGGGCAACTCGACCCAACTTTAGTGTACTCTTTGCTGAGTTTATTTTGAAATCCTACATCCAGGTCTGATGTTTTCTCGCTCCTGGGGACGACACCGTAAGCAAGTAAAAGAGATTCCGATAAAAGCATAAATGTGACCCATCATCTCCTACTGCTATCTCGCTTCGCCTTCATCATGCTTGGGGCGCTTCGGGAGAACATTGCTGTTGGTCCGACTAACTTCTGCCGAAATACTCGCGAGACGCTTTTTGCTTTCATTTCGTTGCAACCCAGCAAGTGTATCTATCAACTCGGTGCGAGAAGAGTCAATACTCAGTTTCTGGTCGTCGCTCTCGTCGCTGTCTGTCTCGAAAGGCACCTCGGCATCCAGATGTCCTGTCGAAGGCGGTACGCCAAGGTCCTTCTCTATCAACGGGACCTGTTGCCGCATCCATCGTAAAAGCATCTGGTGCCGCAGAGCTCCACACCTTGCCTCACGATAAGCAGAGGTGGTCTGGAGAAACACCTTGATCGCATCCCCCCGACGTTGGAAATGATCAAAGGCTTCGATTGCAGAGTCAAGCTTGGCTTGAGTCTCAAAGAGTTTCCGTTGTGCTACTGGCCCCCTGACGCTTGGGTCCAACAGATCCCGTTCCGCTAATAAGACGTTTGAACTGGCCACCTCCACGGCTTGTCTTAGTTTGGTCCTTTCACCATCTGATGCTGGTGAATATCCTGCTGCTTCAATCTGATCTCGGTCTTCATGCAATTCCAACAACTTGGAGTCAGCGAGTGTCTGCCAGGCGCTTTCATACTGCTGGTTATAGCGCTTATACCACGAGTATTTTTTACGCTCTGACACCTCAAAACATAGGTACTCAAGCCATTGTGATAATGGATCCTGGTCTGCTGGATCTGGTTTCATATGAAGTGGTGTGGTGAGAGACTGTTTGGAGAGGCACTTGGTACATCGCGCCAGGTATTCGTCAAATGCATCCCGGTTTCGTCTCACTCTCAGCTGATAACGGCAAAACTGGTTCCACCTTTCCAGCTGGCGTTCAAACACCATCCATTCTTGCTTTCCCGATCCGGTGGTGTCTTGTTTCCAGTACTCAAGAAGCTCGGCGTGGTGCTCTGGATCCTGGGCGACTTGGTCGATGAGCTCGCTGGAATACCAGGGACGTCCCCCAGCCTTGGTCAGAAGGTCATGGAACGCCCTCTCGCGTTTGATGTCGTCAGTATGTTGCTCATCAGGAGACAATAGAGTCTTGACCTGGGGAATCGGGGTAGCCCTCTCGGTAGTTGTTAGAGTTGTACTAGACTCATAATCCGGGTTCCACCATGGCAGCATGTCCATGTAACTGCCGGACTTGTCAACTGGGCGTGCTACGCTGGAGATATCTGGCAGAAGATCGCAATAGAGAACCCTGGGGATCATCAGAGTATGAACAAGACGAGCAGAGACGCATGAGAGATGGGGTTACCCGTACTGTAGTCCGTCTCTCATCCAACGGGTGACCTTGTCTTGCCCCTGCGCCTCGAGTGATCTGGGCTTGATGTCAGACAAGTCCAAGAAGGAGTCAGAGCAAGAACTTACGAGCGTCTCTCGTTCTGCTGCCGTTCATCCTCTTCCTCAGACCACGTTACGGCCTTGAAGATGTGATCCATTGGTTGGTCCCCGGATTTGACGTCTGGATCTGGTGCAAGTGTGACTGGCGGGCTTTGAGGCTTGTCCATTGGGTTACAGTGATTTTGCCGATTTCTCTTTTGTTTATCCCGCCGAAATTGACAAAGTACTTATCTATATGACAGGTTGAACTGAACTGAATGTTGCTGCAGAGTAACGATGTACAAGTGTGCGCTTGTGAAAGGAAAGTTGAAGGGCCGGTGATGGATGAAGGAAGGATGTCACAAGTGAATGCCGTCACAGATGAATTTTGAGTGAGACAAGCAAGGGGAGAAGAAGGAAAAGAAGAAAGACAAATACTGGACGGATCGCGAATGAGGCTGAGCCTCCCTACTGGCCGAGAAGCCTCAATGTAAGGTAGGTAAGGTGAGGTAGGTAGGTACCTAATTTGAAATTTCCCTCTTGCCTTCCCTTTCATTTCCAGCCCAAGTAGGGAAGTTGCATGTAAGGCCGTACGCACGAACCTGCTTGGCTGTCGCAGAATGTGAATTAATGAATGGAAAGCGCGGCCCAAGGACCAAGCGCCCCTGTATCTGAAGTCCGGGCAAGCACTCCCATGATCCGCGCCCTGCAGCAACAAACCTAAAGAAATGGAAAGACAAGACCCGGGTGAGTACGTTAGGTATCCGCGATTAGCGTCGGGCAACTTTGATTGGATGCCGACTGAGTGTTCTGGCATCTGGATTCTGGGCTCCAGGGCAGGGAGGGGCAGAGGGGGCCTGAATCTGATGGAGGGGTGCCCGCTGTGGGGAAGATCCAATGGAAGAAGCCGCCCTGTCCTGGAATCGAAGCTTCTGTCCATCCATTTTGACGATTGTGCCACTGTTTCCATTCAGCCAAGACCACGTCTGAAGTCTGCTCTTCCATGGTCTCAGTCTCATCTTTACTATTGCCGCGGGTTAAGCGCCAGAAAGTTCTAGGCAGCTGTCAATCTCCTTAGCTTCAAACCATCTCAAGAGAACCCTTTCTAGCCTTTCTCATGCCTCGGCTCAATTGTCTGACTAACGTTAGTCTACATAATATCACATCACGGAGATTGATGCTATCATCACTATTACCCTTGTCCTTGACCCACGCACCATAAAGAGCATGCAGCTCATTCATGACCTCGTGCATTTCCATCGCCACAAGGGACAGGACAGGACAGGACAGCTCAAAAGTTGGAAGTGACGGCGAGTTCCTTACATGCATATGTATTTCTGTTCTTGTGACCACTTCCAAGTTTCCAGGTCCATCCGGTCAATCTCATCTCCCTTGCTTCGTATCTGGCGGCATTGACCTCTCTTTTGTCATCGCATCCCATAAAGTGGAAACTGATGATGAATCGACACTCGCTGTTTTATAACTATTACCAAGCGCGATATCCCAAGGTACTAAGATGATCGCAGAGTTCGGGCCGGTCCCGTACTTACACGGAAAATGCTTCTCACTCCTTAAGGAGCAACGAGCAAGAAGCTCGGAATCTCTATTCTAAAAGTGATAAGATATGGGTCAGCTTAAAATAGACTTGGGTGCCTTTTGACCAGTTCTTTGCATCACTTCGAATAGCGGTCATAAATTATTGTTACTCCAGCTTTAATCCAATGCAGGCTCTGATGCCAAAAAAGCCATGAGATCCGACCAGAAATATAGACAGGCTACCCTGTGATGATTATGGAGAACCTGGTATCTCTCTGACTACCTTAGTCATTTTCTTTTTTTGTCCCCAGTCAAAATGTTTTAGTCTTTTTGAATTATGAACATATTACTGATGAGAACGAGCATTGAATTAACGGTTCTTCGAATGCAGGTCTTTGAGGCACCAGATAACAGTAGAAAGATAATGCATCAAAGGCGTCCGATTTCCTCACTACACTATTGGTTGGGTGCACATGGGATATGTAGATACTTCCACTTGACGATTGCCCCATATCAAGATCCAAAGCGTACCCGGAAGGATCAAGATGCAAGTTAAATATAAGCAAACTCACTCGGCTTTCATTAGCTGAATCATACAATGTAAAGGGAGGGATGCCGTCCACAAGTAGATCAAATACATTGTAGCGGTGCTGGTTCCATTGATCTTCATAAGTGTTAGTATGAACAATCTGACTTATGCCCATCAGCGAGTAAGGGCGTTGGCGCGGCAAAGTATTGACACCTCGTATCTCCATCATCTTGAGTTGTAAGTTTCTTCTAGGCTTATACTGACTCTTCTGGAAACCCTCGTATTTGCGTCACGAAGAGTAGCTGAATCGTCTTTGACCATCCCTGCGCTTGAACTCGCAAAGACAACGGTCGAACATCGCTGGAACCTTGAAATAGGCGGCAACACGGCCGTGAATTCGTTATATAAAGATTAACCACTGCCGACTTGGAGGAGAGTCCGCCGACGGCGAGGGTTTTATCCCTTGTCCAGTACTCCTAGTTCTTGAAGCAACGGCAACGCCTACTAAGGGCGCCCGAGACCGAATCTCGGTGTACAGAACCCCAGGGGTATCTAACGAGACCGAGACGAAGTTTTGACTGGAATTAGCCTGCTCTGCCGTGTTCTCGTAGCGCGGTAGGGGAAGATGGTGAGCTGCCAGGGCAAGTCGCTGGGGTCAAAGTATAAGACGCCACGGATATTCGATTCTCGGGGGTTGGATATTCGACATGA